AGCCAGCGCTCAACCTGTCATCCACGTGGCTGGCCTTGTACGTAAGAGGTTATGAAAAGGTGGAGCTTTCCTTACCTCTTCCCCCTCCCCTTTTTTTCCTTTTCCTTTTTTCTTTCCCCTTTTTTGCGCTCTGATTCACAATGTGACAATATATATTAGTCATAAACTTATCAGACCGCAAAAATGAAAAGAAAATTGAAAGAAAACAAAGAAAATTAAATTCATTTTTTTAATCTTGTTCCTTACAACTCCCCCTGTTGAGAACCTCTCTCTCTCTCTCTATATATATATGTGTGTCTCTGTGTGTGTGTAAACGTCCAGGTATATCCATATGAGTGGTGGCAAACAATTGACGAACGTTACGGCGGGAAAAAAATGAGATAAGGTGGATAGTTTCTTCCGGGAATGACTGGCGCGAACCCCCCTAATTCATCCCCACCCGAGAGAACCCCCCTAATTCTTCCCCACCCCAGAGAACCCCCCTAATTCTTCCCCACCCCAGAGAACCCGCCTTTGCCTTCTCTGGGTAATGTAACTCACGCACGAAAGGCCGGAAAAAGGGAAAGAGATTTTGAAAAAAAAAGGAAGAAGATTTAGAGACAAGAAGAGAGAGATTGAAAGAAAATTTCGTTAGGATATCTATCCTTCACGATGCAGGGCTTCTCGGGCCTGTCCCGATCCAAGCCAATGACATTCTTCGGCCACGTGGGAATTGTCGTTTTTTTGCAAATTTTTGGGCTAATTCATTCAAGGCGGACGACCTTGAGGTATCATCGTTAAACAGTTAAAACTGTCCAGCCCCAGGTAATGCAGAGTTATATCTATTCTCAACTGAATTCCAACAGATTGGAACTCACGGGCAGAAGGGGGGTGTGTGCCATTCAATTACATAGCCAAGTTCAGGTGAGACGTTTGGGAGCAAATCTATTAGAGGATAATGCATGAAAAAAAAAAAAAAAGGAAAGGAAAAAAAAAAAAAAGGATAAAAGGAAAAAGAAAGAAAGAAAAGAGAAGGAAAAAAAGAAGAAAGAAAAAAGAAAGGAAAGAAAGAAAAAAAAAAAGATGAAAAAAGAATGAGGCCTTGACATGTTTGGGAAAGGAAGGGATCTGAAGGGGGGGAAAAAAACAGGTTGATATATCATATTTGGATGTGAAATGAAAGCGAAAGGAAAGATAAGTGAAAAGAAAAAGAACGGCTGAGCTATGGATATAGGTTTTTTTAAATTAGTATTATTTTTAATTTAATTTTTAATTTGTTTTTAATCTGGAACCCGCACTTCCGTTGGCTACTCATCCATCAGTCCCTCTAAGAAGGTGGCCAGATAGAGGGGGCGGAAAAAAAAACGTACACCAAATAATAAATTGCTTAATGTTCTCGGGTCATGCAGCTGTGTTTCGTCGTTCGTCCTCAGGAATTTTCAATTTTATTAACAAATTAAATTAAAGCAATTGCAAGACATCATGTTTTTGAAAACACTACTTGTTATCTACTGGAGTGATTTTTTTATTTTTTTTTTGGGAAGAGTGACTGATTTGTCAGTTATAAGGTAAATCAGTACGTATCGAGTACATACCAATTGGAGCTCCTCACGAATAGAGGGAAAAATAAAGGAAAAAAGGGAAAAAAAGGAAAAAAAAGGGAAACCTGTACCGTACGTTATCTGAAGAAATACTTTTGCATGTTACTGAAAAAATCCCTTGATTTGCATGTTACTGTGAAAGTTTATTTGCATGTTCCTGTAATTGCATGCACTCTGATGAGTCGGTGAAACTTCAACGAAACAGTCTGTCACAGTCAGTCCCTCGTTTGTTGTCCTCTTCTCCCTCTCTGCCTACGCTGCACCGGGCAGTTCTCTATGGCGATATATATATCTATCTGTTTGTGACGATATATATATATATATATTTTCAGCCTCCTGATGAGTCGGTGAAACTCCGACGAAACAGTTTGTCACAGCCCCTCATTTGTTGTCCTCTTCTCCCTCTCTGCCTACGGTTTACCGGGCAGTTCTATTTGACGATATATATATATATATATTGTGACGATATATATATATATTGCTTTCTGCGGATGGTGATATAAGCTTCCCGCACCCCCCTCCCTCCTCCTGTCCTCTGCCTTCCTCCCTCCCTCCACCTTCCCCTCTTTTTCGTTTTTTTTCAGATATTGGAAAATGTATTTGGACGTACTGAATGTGCAGGTTCAGGGCCTTCGGAGGGTCGAACACTCACGTGAAGCTTCTTCATTCTCAGTTTGTGGAGAAAAAGCGTTGGTTAGATGAAAATCGCTTCCGGGAATTGATGGGTTTTGGGCATGTAAGTATCAAAAAAAAAAAAAGAAAAAAAAAAGCGGTTGCTTGTTCGATTGAATGAATTCGATTGAATGAATTTGAATCGATTCCATGTCTGTTCTGTTTTTTTTTTCTTTTTTTTGTCATTGGCACTGATTCGTTGCGCTTTTTTTTCCTCTCGTTCCTTACCTTTTCACTTTTGCGCAGATCTTCTTCACTTTTTTCTTTTTTTTTTTAACATCATCTTCACTTCTGTCTTCCCCTCCTAGTAGAAAGCAAAGGAAAGGGACTGTCATAAGGGCATACTCATAGTATAACTTTTTTCGAATGTATCTGGACGTTATTCCGATCAGGTTAACTTAAAAAAAGGGCACTTTATACTTGGGGCTTGCTGCCAACGGGCTAAGTCAGTTGGTACACCCATGAACTGTTGAAATACAGACCTGAGTTCGAATCCAGCTGTTGGAACTATATGAATGCAACGATATAATTCCCAGAACCTGGGCACAATCAATGCATTCATATCTGAACACCGTCCCCTCCTTTTATATATTTATGTATATATATATATATAATATATACATAATCCAACATGATAATATTATTTATATATCGTCACAAACAGTATATATATCGTCACAAACAGTATATATGTGCGAGAGGTTCTGAACCGGGGGAGTTGTAAGTAAGAAAATGAAAAATGAATTGATATCTTTTTTGTTTTTTTTTTCGCTTTTGCGCTCTGATAACTCTGTGACGATATATATACGTCAACACCACTGTCCCCCTTTGTCACAGCCCCTCGTTTGTTGTCCCTCTTCTCCCCCTCTGCCTACGGTTTACCGGGCAGCTCTGTTTGACGATATATTGGCGATTATATATATAGTTTTGTTTGACGGTATATATGTTTGTTAATTGAGTTGAGTTGAGGTCCTTCTCAAGTTAAGCATTTTCTGAAATGAAGCACCTTCTCAAATTAAGCACCTTTTACCTTTTTTTTTTTTTTTTTTTTTTTTGGGTGGTAAAAACAGGCCCTGTTGTTGGGCCTAACTACTCCTATTCTGGGGAGCATCCGTCCTATTCCTTTTCGACCCTTGCAAGTCACATACATGTACGCCGCTCTCTAGGCCATGACATGCATGCGGCAAGGGTTCCCGAGGCCATAACATGCTGCAAGGGTGGGCGTACTCCCAAAAGGTGAGCAATCAAACTTTTAAAAGTCACATCATACATTCACGCCTCTCTCTAGCTCTAGGCCATAACATGCTGCGATAGTTCCCGAGGCCATAACATGCTGCAAGGGTTCCCGAGGCCATAACATGCTGCAAGGGTTCCCGGTTCTCTAACGCTAACCCATGTTATGGCCTCGGGAACACTTGCAGCATTGATTGCTATTGCTTACCTTTTTCTTTTTTTTAAAGGGCGATGGCCTTGAGGTATTATCATCGGACTAACCAGCCCAGGTAAATTCAATATTGTGTCTAATCTGACATTGGGTGGCCTTGATTGCCTTCAGGGAATCCCAACGGGGGACACCGGCCAGGGGACAGCCGGTGGCAGAGGGACCTTTTGGAAGTAGGCTCATCCTTTTTCAGCAAGACGATTAAAAAGAAAGAAAAAAAAAAGACTGAGGGGTGGCAAGGCTGAGGATTTTTTGGGCGTGCTCGTTTTGAACTTTTAGTAAGTGAAAGGGGGGTAGCAAGACTGAGTTCGTTTGGAGTGACTAGGTGTAGGCGTAAAGGGCACATAGGCGTAGGCGGTTATTTGGAGTGACTAGGTGTAGGCGTAAAGGGCACATAGGCGGTGAATTAGGCGCAAAGCGGCTCCTTTTTTATTATGGTTGATTATAAACAAATCTGCAACATCAGAAGCAGTTGCAAGCAAAAAGAGGCTGGGCGCTGGGTTCGTTCGCGACTTACCTTGAGAGAAGGTGCTTAATTTGAGAAGGTGCCTAATTTGAGAAGGGGCTTAATATGAGAAGGGGCTTAATATGAGAAGGGGCTTAATATGAGAAGGGGCTTACTTTGAGATGGAGTCTAGGCTGTGTCTCAGTCCCAGAGTGGCTGATCATCCAAAAAGACCAGCTAAGCATCGTTGGCTTGGTTAGCCTTTACCTAACCGACTACCTGATACTACGAGGGCTCATTAAATAGTGCTTGCTGAAAGCTTTCACTATCACGCCAGTTTGAAACTGGAAAATTCGGCTAACTCGCCTCGATCGACACCAGAGTTGACTCGACATAGGCTAGCCAGCGCTGTGCGCCTCTTGCACGGATTGAAATATGTGCCTGGTGGCACCTTGCTTGCTGTTTTATGGGGGCTCATTAAATAGTGCTTGCTAAAAGCTTGCACTATCACGCCAGTTTGAAACTGGAAAATTCGGCTAAATCGCCTCGACCGACACTAGAGTTGACTCGACATAGGCTAGCCCGGGTTGTGCGCCTCTTGCGCGGATTGAAATATGTGCCTGGCGGCACCTTGCTCGCTGCCTGGGTATTGTGACACGGGAAACAGTTTCTTCTTCTTCTTCTTCTTCTTCACCTTCTTTTTTTTTTTTTTTTTTTTTTTTTTTTTGTAATGCTTTTTCTTTTTCTGGCCCTGGGGCCTGGACCCACCAACCCCAGTCATTAGGATTTCGATCACATGTGGCGGATGAGGACAATTGCTGTCCCTGGATGGTGTTAAGGATCAAAGGACGCGCGACTGTTTTGGTCGTGGGGAAAACCCGGAGGTCCACTCATCATAACTTCAG